ACCTACAAACTCAGCCCGCTTTCTCCTTATACTTTACACATACCCTGGAGAGATGTATGGGTGGCTGACATGCAGTGGTGTCAGTACAGTGAGGCACAATACCTGCCCATCAGTCAGGAAACCATAATGCACATTTATGCTAATACTGATGATAGTCACTCTTGCTAAAAGTCCTACACCATTGTTTTTTTTTTTTTACTAAGAGTGTTCTCAGTGGTCTTTAAATTGTGATTATGAGTTTTTTAGCCAAAATCATATTACCTGTGAGAGCTCTAGTAGCTCATTAGAAAATCAAGGAGACGGCGCACTCCTCTTCATGCTAGCTTGCAGCCTAACATTGCCATTGCAGTAGAAGTGGCAGGTAAACAGGAGTTATTCAGCTCTCGAACACTAATGTCTTTAGGGACATGATGAAGGTTAATATAATAAGCTTTCTTATGAGCATTGCAATCCGCTGACGCACACGTTTGTTCCGCGATTGTCCTCTCTACTTCTACAAGTCTTTCATTGGAGTGGGTCTTTAAGTAGTTAGCTATCTCTGGCCACCCTCTTGCAAATTTGGCTTAACATTTGCTCACACCTTTTTCAACTATGGACATTATTTTATAACGTGGTAAACTGGAAACATACAAAACCAGGGAAAAAAAAGTATAAACCATTTCATTGGTCAGACAGTCCTTTTAATTTTAATGGAGAGACAACACTGTCAATTAAAGGCAGCAAATACATACAATGCAGGAAAAAGAGCAGAATTCAGAAATGAGAAAGTTGAACCACAGGTCAATTCAGAGGCAGATATGTTTCCAACATTAACATGGACAATTAGCACTAACTGTATTCAGAGGAATGACAGACAGACATTGGCCCTGTTGAACTTTCACAGAACTGTACCATACAGTCATACATGTTCATCTTTGGCTCAGCTCATCAAAACAGGAAGTATCTACAGGTCGGCTGAAAAATGTTTTAAAAGGAAAACAGGTTTGAATGGTGTATAATTTGCTCAATGATAAATACACTGTGAGCCACAGTAGACCATGAATACCATATACAGCAGTTTACATAGGGTAAAAAACACTCTTCTTCCTCTGTCACGCTGATTTCTATGGATGCCATCCAATTCAGTTTGTGTAATGGCAGGATCTCACACCAGTTATTAAATCAGTATACCTTAACTGGACAATTGGCACCTCTGTGGTAGTGTGAATATCATCCACACTGGAGATTCAACATAAGAAAAAAACATATGTGTGCCATTATCACAATTCTGTGTTTTTTTTCTTTTTACTTGATCTGTATTTGTTGGTTTTGTTGTTTTTGAAGTAAGGGTGCTGAGCATGGCATTTATTTCTCTGACCTATGACATTTAGGTTAGCTTAAATTTTGTAGCTCTTCTCTTCTTTGGCAAACTGCTGTTTTGGGCAACATCTATTGACAATTTGTTGCCATTGACACTCTGATTCAGAAACAGTTCATGGCATTATGGAGCAATAAAAACTTCAATTCAGTTCTCATATGATGAATCTAGAAGGGGGCTTGTATAAGTTTTCTTCCTCCCACTTTAAGAGGAAGTCTTCATTGAAAGTAAATCTGAGCTATCAAAAAAGTTAAGAAAATGATCTTTTTTCCCTTGGCTGGTCAGATGAATTTTACTTTTGACTGATCTAAACTGATTTTGTATTTTGGTATTTGAACGGGTAAATTAGCTGCATGTATTTTTCTTTATTCTTACTGCATGTGTCAGCACACCACTCAGCCTAGGCCCTTATCTTAGCAACACTCACTAGACATTGTTTGCCTAACATGGCTTGATTTTGTCATTTTCATTTTTCTGTTATCGTTTGCATGTTCATGTTTTCAGTTTTAAAACTACATTCATGAAGACTGTGCAAAATACGAACTCACAAAGTAAAAATAGTGCAGATGTTTTTATCAGACAAACTTTTTAAGGAGGTTGTGCGTAATCATCCTGCCTGAATGCATATTCCAATAGCACTTAAGTACAAAAATCCCCCCTTTAAATGAGCCATTCATTAGAGATAATGAAAGGTCTGTGCAGTATAATGAGCTGCCAGTTGAATGCTAATTTCAGAAAATAATTGCAGGAATGAATACTGTGCATACAGAAAATTAATCTCGGTAATATGACTGCCTCGTTATATATGAGCGAAAAGAAGGATAAAAATAATGCAAAGCTTGATTAGATAAATACAGTTAGAATAATTACATTTAAACATTGTCCTTGTAGAAGTCAGCAGCGAAAACTCTAATCAAAGAATGAATCATGAAAAGACACAGAAAAGAGACATGGGACATTTCGAAGGTTTGGTCCGTCTGTCTTTCTCTAATCCAAAATCCTGGTAGAGCAACAAAAAAGTGACAGACTCCTTTGGGTTTGCCATATCTGTGTACAAGTGCATGTACTAGAAGGAGACAGATACACATGCTGCCTTACATAATCTTGACTTCTATGTCTCTGCTTTTTAGTAAGCAGTACTCTAACGTGTAATTACACACAGGTACACGTCTGCCACTGTAAAATCACTGTCCAACACAGAGGGAACAGATGTCCCCTTGAGCACACTGGTAAAGTGGGCACACTGTGTGCAATAGGATGGTCATGGCACAGACACCTTTCTACGTTTGTAAGTACAGCAATGTCAAAAAGAGAAAGAAAATGTCAAAAGAGAGCATCCTAACTCCCAGCACAGATACAGCTGATGAAAATTAAAACATAAAATATTTGAGACAGGCCCTGTGACAATAATAAAAACATTTCTTTTTTTTGTCAAAAGTCAAGTCCTCACTGAAGTGGTGTGCAGTGGTAGAAGCGTTTTTCTCCAAGCAGTCCCCTGCAGGGTCATTTTTCCAGAACAATGCAGAATTGTCTCTTTAGCCATTAGCTGCAGATCAACTATGCAAAGCAGGCCGATGATTAACAACGAGTCGTAATACAATAATTGCAGAAAACAAAATCCCGCCGGGTAATGAGACGCCCAGACAACTGGTTTGCAATTTATATCACCCATCAGGATGTGTCTGGTCCTGGTGTCCCTGGATACAGCCTGGATGCTCTGCACTGTGCTTGGTTGGTCTCAGTGGTGGCATACCATGGTACTGCCGGAGAACGAGTGGAGCCCACACAAGCATGCCTTCAGATGCAGCCTCTCTCTCTCTCTCTTTCTGCTGCTCTCTCCTCTCCATACCAGCTTTCATCCAGCTGACTTGAGAGGAAATCCTTCACAAGAGGAACAAGCTGCCAGCTCCAATGACGAGGGGAAAAAATCTCAGAAGCGGGCATCAAAGAAAGAGAAAGAGCCCGGTGCCAACGCTCTCACAACAAAACAAAAAGTCAGAAATCGCTAACGCTCCGCCCCGGTTGAAATCTTCCACCTTTGTTTTTGTCTCGCATTTTATTTAGTTTCGCAGTTGTTTTAGAGAATTAGCATCTGCTACTGAGCCTTTGTAGAGGGATTTATGTGCCCCCCTACACATTTCTCCCATACCACGCGTCCCCGCCCCTCGCCCTCCTCCTTATCCTTCAACAGTCTGCCAGACAAGTTTTTCCCACCCAGTCAGAGTACCCAGCCGGCAACCCCTTTTTGTGGGTGTGCTTGTTTAGTGTGGGTCTGCTCTGATTGTGGTGCATGAGGTGCCAGCTTGGATAGGAGGAGAGAGGAGGAGGAAAAGGAGTCTTTGTAAGTTATGGGAACACTATGAGGCAGACGCGGGCGCTCATAAATTATACGGCTCATTTGCATATTACTGGCATAAGACATTATGCAAATACAGCTTGATTTGCATAATGGATTCCTCTTGTTGCCTCAATTGCCTGGTCGTTGCTTTTTATTTCATATAAAAAGAGTAAAAATTAATAAAGAATAGCACATTTCAGCACCAAGATGTCCTCTGCAGTTGCTTCCATGAACACTGAGTCCGAGAAATACCTTAATGAGGAAAACCGTTTGTCAAAACAAAATGTGTACAATGTGCCCTTAGGCGTAAAAGACACAAAACAAAACTGAAACCTCGTTGAGTATGTCTCACGGTTAATTCGAGCGTTCGTTGATTTTCCTCTTAATTAGTCTCCTCTACTTTGGCGATTAAACCAAGCTGCATACGGCTAATTAACGGCCATGTGTTACCATCTGCAGAGAGAGGGGGTTTTAATTAAATAATTAAGCTACTCCATTCTCCCGCATTTTAACCTCATCAGCTCTTTACCACACGGCCAGACTAACAATACGAATAAAGCAGTAGATATGACCAAGATAATTGTTAAAGTAATGATGAAGCAGCTCCAGACAACAGAGAATGGATCATAACCGCGTACAGTGCATATTAAGCTTCATTAAAAATGTCCCATTAAGAGTCGTTTATTTACAACCTGTTTGTTGCTTTCTTTATCAAATCAACCAAGATAATTAACTGCAGTACAGTTAAAGAAATTTACAGATAAAGATGATGAGAAGGAGGGGAAAAAAAAGGAGGAGTGATGCTAACTATTCTATGGCAGGTAGCATCAGGAACTATCTAACATTAAACACATAAAAGATAATATAAGGAGGTGGTGGAAGACTGACTTTGACCATTCATAAAATGTCAAGACATCATTGTACGATCAGATGAGCCAAAAAAACATCAGTTTACATCTGCTTCAGTCGAATAAGGGTCTTGTTATTATTTTCTGCACAACATAAAGAGGCTGATTGTAGGCAGAGGGTCTCTCTTGTCTACATTCAGGACCAGTGAAGAGGAGGAAAAGCAGAGTCAAGGCAAATGCCAGACACCGCGGTTACATGGCAGGGCATAATACGGCTAGCCAGCCGGTTTGCGAGCATTGTTCGAAGAAAAACCCCGGCTTTTAGAATCAATTAACCCGAATGTTAATTAATGTCAAGCTTGTAGGAGAAGAAAAAGGGAGATGGAAGGTGGGTGTACTAAGCATGTGGAAGAAAGCTAGGGAGAGGAGGAGGGTGGGTAAGAGAGGGACTGAGTGAGAAAGGGGATGGGCAAATAAGGGAAACAAGGAGCGAATGCGGTTGATGGCAGAGAGAAGTTGGCACAGTGCCATCCATTCAGTGGTAGCACCAAGGCGGACTTCTCTGTGCTTTAGTGTGGGTGGTTAGATGAAGTCTGGGAGACATAGAGGTCTTGTTCTAATTTCTGATAGAAAAACATGCTTGAGTTTTAATGTTTAATTTTTATTTTTGTTTGTTTTTTTCCCTTTTTTGTGGACAGGGCTGTCTTTTTAAATAATGAAAGTTTAAATGAAGACCGGTCTTGGGGAACACAATCATCCTCTGGTTCTGCCTTGGAGAACAAGTTCACATTTGCGGGCGAAGACGTCAAAATGTGACCTTCACCCGAATGAAGTTTGGAACGTGTTTTTTTGGATTGATCAGTTTTTGCTGCGTGGCACCATGGTGGAAAGACAATTAGTGGATTACCAACAGTTTCAAAACAGGGATGTGGGACAGGAAGTGAACCCAGGAGATAGGAGGCACGTGTGAAATCTCAGGAGACAGCATCACGCGGAGTTAATCAAAGAAGAGGAAATTTGAAAACAAACAAGAGAAATTGGGGCCGTTTAGTTGTTCTACCATTGATTGGGGGGTGGCAGTGGCACAAAATCAAGCTCCTCCCACTCGCTCCTTCTTGCTCTCCCGCTAACCATCTGAGACACAGCTCTCAGTGCCAGGCAGCCAGCCAGCCAGCCAGCCATCTGGGCAGGAGACGCCATGCCAACTCATTCGCTCGCTGTAAAGGATGTACCCTTGGAAAATGCGGGCGATTTCGAACGCCACTTCCACTTCTCAGTTGCCATTTTGGACTTGGGTGAAAGACACTGGTTGTGAGGATGCCCATGGAGCAATTATTTGGTCTCAAGTGGTGTGTCAGCAGGAATGTGATGGCATCACATCAACATGAAAACTGGTGAACGACGAGGGACATATCATACAAATTAGCCAAATCAACAAAGCCGGATATCTTCTACGAATCGGGCGCTTAAAAAACAAAAGAGAAAAGAACAAACAGAGACATTACAGCATCTGTTATGACTAATTAGAGCGAAATTTGCTTCGTTAATAAGGGTGCCACTCTCAATCACAGAGACGAGTTGAATTAACTACAAACGAATCCTCAATGGGAATGAAACAACAACAAACAAGATGAAGTGAGACAAAAGCAGCGAACTGTTCAACTATTAGCGGAGGGTGTGAAGCGAGTGCCTCTTTTTGTGCCAACTCCCTTCCCCCTTTAGCCCATATTTTCCCAAGTGTGAACTGCCATTTAGTTTTGCGTTGGCTGGCAGCCACCACATTTGAACATCTACCATAGGCACTGCTGCAACAGACACTGCCAATCTGCCAATCACAGCCTGGCTTGTCTACAGGAGAAGGAGGAGGGAGGAGGAGGGGTGGAGGATTGGACTTCTGGGACTGTGCCTGAAGCTCACCAGCAGCTGTTTACAATGTCACAGACACAAAAGAAAAAAAAAAAGAAGCAAACATGAGGATGCATACTAATGAACCGCCAAATTAAATTATACTCAGTGGATCGAAAGGATTTAGTTTACCTCTTTCAATTCTCTACTACAATACACTACATCCTGTTTACCTCTAGAGTGCTTGTTTTCTTTAACCGGAGCAACTTTTTGGGACAGGACGATTTTTAAATCCAAAAAAAACAATCAGGAATTCTTCGTCTGCAAAGAGTCAAGCGACAGCAGTAAAGGACGAAGAAACCTGAAGTTTCAGTGTGGTATCCAGCAGCATGACAGACAAGTGAGAGAGTGGCGTGGGCACAACAAGAACCAAGTGGAGTGGGTACAGAAGGCACATGGGCAAGGAGGAAACCTGAGTTCAAGAGACACTGAGGGGGAGGTGCTGGCCTGCCTGCAACCAAACTGGGGGCAGTGAGGCCGTGGGAACTCATTACATCCTCCACACCCACATCCCACATCTCGATGACATTTTTGCCCCTTTCTTGCCAACCATCCAAAAGAAATGAGCAAACTCCACCCTTTCAGGATATCCCCTCCTGCGCTAAACTATAATAAATAGACGCAACGCAGACTTACCAACTGGTTTGAGTTACTGTCTGGAGTGTTCTCTGGGTCCGGAGGATGGTTTCACCGGTTCCCGCGAAGTGAGCTGGCATCGGGCACGGAGCCAAGGACGGGCATCGCTGAAAAGACACACAATGGAGGCTTTAATTAAGTTCGTTTTCGTCGTTAATATGCACGGCCGGAATTAAAACAGTAATTAGCAACGCAAGGCTTTCCAGCCACCTACTTGCATCAAAAATTGTCTCAGTTTTTTTCTCCAGGATTTCTTTGGACAAGAGACATGGTTTTGCAGAATGAATAATTAAGGAAGTCATCCAAAGGGAGGGATTATAATATCTTTGCGCTGGCTTCCCAGACCTGGTACCACCAGGGCGCTTGATTCTGGTTGTACCACCACTGAAGAGAGACGGCGAGAAAGATGGCATCTTTTTGGGCATCTCAAATGTGATAATTGCGACTGAAAATGATCCGATTAACAACTAAATTTGTAACACGTGTCGGATTTTTTATATGTTCATCACTGGAATTGTGGATATTCTAATCTTTCAAAGCTAATGAACTTTGGATAATCACCCTTTCATATTATTCCATGGGGAGTGTTAATTGTGCGGCGTCTTCATTACACAAATGGATTACAAAAAAAAAAAGAGGGCTTGCACGAGAGAGCAGGACGAAATGGGGGTGGAGTGTGTGTGTGTGTGAGTGTGTGTGAAAGAGAGAGAGAGAGAGACAGAGGGAAAGCAAGAACGGGGATATTTTTCTTCCTTCGTTATATGCCAGTAGTCAAATAATGCCACAGTACTCACAAACAAGCAGAGAAAAAGCTCCTGCATTGCCAGTTATGTTCAATGCTCCCTCTTGGAAAACCTGCTCTCTTTGCTCTCTGCCTACTCTCTAGAGCACCAACTCTCACGTCTGAAGACATCTGCCTCTCCTGGTTTCTGGATCTTACAAAACTGGAGCGAGAAGAAACCTTCCTGGAATCTAATTTCTCTCAAGAGTGGATATTATTTGTGTTATTCTAATGATTAGTGCATTAGCAGCATTGATCTTTCTTAGACTGGTGGTGTTGGCGCCTGGTCGAAGCGGGATGCAGAGGAGACAGCAGACACTGAGGCGGGCACTGGCTAATATCCTCTGTGCTTAATCATCCTACAGCAGAATGGTTTTATGCATATTTCATTTGCATATCATTAAATCGCTAAGGCATACGGGCAAATGGCAGCGGAGAGCGAGTGACTGGATACAGAAAAGCATGAAATGTAAAAAGAAAAAAAGCGGCTCATTATGCGATGGCAATCTTCAAAGCTGTGTGCTTGGTTTTCTGGCAACCTGCCAATTCGTTTAATTCGACATTAATTAAAAAAAGTCAGGGCGCTCAACCTTTTTTGACTCGGACTAATTGAGCACCTTTCAATCTTTGTGAGGAGTCATCTCGCATACAGAGAATGTCTGTTCATACAGAACTAATGGGTGTTTGTGGATTTGTGAATGGAATTGAAATTAGACTTTGAACGGGATTTCAGATTTTATAAAATATCTGCATTGATCGGATAAAAACGCTGAATACAAATACTTGATGGAGTGAGCAGTTCCCTGTTTGATTTTTGTTCATGTTCATGTAAGGGTTGAAATATCACACAAACGAAGGTGAAGAATTGATAATGACCAGATGTGAGACAGATTGTTGGAGACTTTTATCTAGAATCACCTTTTTTGAACAGGATTATCTAACTCCTGCACATCCTTCACATCACCTCCCTACTACACAAGGCGACAAAAACTGCCTCAAGTTTTTTCACACAGAAACACACACTCCATATTAACCCCCACAACTACAACCAAACCTTATTTTGCTTTACAACCAGTCCCGTGATGATCGTTAAATGAATTAGCGAATCATACGTCCCCACTCCGCACATTTTAATAACTTTTCAAAAGATCTCACAATGTCGCTAACAATCACACACAGACAAAGAAAAACAAAGTGAGTGACCATTGAATTAGTTGATCAGTTCTGCTTTCTCTTAGCTTATAGTTAACTAAAATTCTAATTGATGGAAAACTATAATTATATGGCCTAACAGCCTTACTCAGGTTTAGGTTAAAAACATTCTAATTTACTTTCCTGGTGCGGTTTAACATTAACAGCCAAATCCTAAAAAACAACAAATCCCTGATAGAAAATTTGACACCACTGAGTGTGTCTAATTGCAGATCTTCCTTTTTCCAGACGTCCTCACTTAATTCTTCCCCAATGAGAGGAAAAATCCCCCCAAGCCAGAATATTCAAATGAAGTGAGCTTCACGCCTCCCGCAATTAGCCATGTTTAGTAATTTGAGAAATGATTGCCGCAGGTGAGGAGGAGGGGCAGCACAGACGGGGGGAGCAGGCTGGCAGGGGGAAGCCCAGTAAGGAGGTGGGTATGAGCCTGGCGCTTTGCAACCATGGCACATGCAGATGTCGCTGTAGTTCTTCCAAAAGACTCTACCAACCAAGCAAGAGGGAGGTAACGAGGAACTCGTTTGGCATCCCACACCTCCACCACGCGTTAACAAGGAGGAGCATTAGCTTGCAAGACTGGTGAAGTGTGGGAAAAAGGCTGGCATCCAGGGCCACATGGGTGAGACTGGGGTGAGGGGAGATCCCTCCCATCATGAGGGAATGTGGACACAAATAGCTATGCTTAAGTGTAGAAAAGGTTAAGCAACACCAGCGAGGTGTCAGGGTATTTCTGAGCCTGTCATAAGATGTAGACATTATGCAGAGAGCTGATATTAATATGCATGCAGCTCTTTATTATGCAGCTCAGCGTGAGGTGATATTGCTGGGCTGCTCTGCCATGCTTTGCTTATGTTCTGAGAGTGTTTTCTCGCACTGAACAAACACTCATTATTCCTTCACCCTCCCGTCAAATACTTAATTATCAATCATACTCACTGAGGTCAATTTAAAATGAAAACACTGAATGTGAAGAAATGAGCTTTGCCAATGGCAGAAACAGCTGGCAATAGTACATAATATGACAAATAAGTGGAGTAGTCTGATTATCGCGAAAGTTGCCGAATGCCTGCTTCAATCAATGTTTCATCAATCCGATTATTAAACAGCAGACAGCTTCAGGTTATAAAGAGATCCCACAAGTGTTATAAATGTTTGATTGAGTACAAAACTAAAGTTAATACAGTAATTACAAACCAAAACAGAGTCGATCACTGTTTTTTGATATCACAACTCAAATCTGATTGATGGTTTTGAAATTCTTTTAAACTGAATTTTGAATCAAATCAAAATTTGATTCATTTATTGAAGTGCGAGACAGAAGTTTACTTCACTAAAATTATCTTATCATCTGAGAAAGTTATTCTTTTGGACTACAGTGATGCTTTTTCAACTTTATTAAAAAACATTATTTTGGAGAGATGTTGTGGGAGGTATCAGGGTCACACTGAGAAAAGAAAAATTAAGACTTTGAATTAGAGCCGTTAATTTACAAGAATGAAGTTGTAATAAAATCATTACTTACGAGAACAAAGTTGTGATAAAAACATGATGATACTTATGATAATGTGGTGCTGATGTGCCAAAAGATTAAGTATCTCCTTGTTTGAGAAACCTGGATTGAAGTAAATTTTCACGAAATCTCATTTTATCAACTGTCATCTTAAACAACAGGTTAGCATATAAGGACTCGATTCTGACTTTATTCTGGTTAGTAATGACTTTATTCTAGACAGTAATATTCTCATTAGTAAAGACTTTATTCTTGTAAGTAATGGCGTTATTCTACTAAGTATTGACTTTATTCTAGATAGTAATGACATTATTCTATTTAGTAATAACTTTATTCTAGATAGTAAAGACTTTATTCTTGTTAATAATGACTTAATTCAAGTTAGTATTGACTTTATTCTAGTTAGTAATGAGTATTCTTGTAAGTAATGGCTTTATTCTATTTAGCAATGACTTTATTTTAGTTAGTAAGGACGTTATTCTCATTAATAATGACGTTATTCTACTAAGTATTGACTTAATTCTAAATAGTAATGACATTATTCTAGTTAGTAATGACTTAATTCTTTTAAATAATGGCTTTATTCTAAATAGTAATGACATTATTCTATTTAGTAATAACTGTATTTTAGTTACTTATGCCTGAATTCTTGCAAGTTAACAACCTAAATCTCGAAGTCTTCATTTTTTTTGTTAATGTGGCCCTTTCACCTCATCATAATATAGAAACTCAATTGTAATCCCCAGAAATAATTTAAATAAATATTTATTCTTCTTCTGAAAACAGCAGATGTCTCCTCAGCATGTAGTGCGTTCTGCTTTGTGGTACTGCACTGGGTTTGTTTAAACTTCTCAGTGCTCCATCTTCATGCCTCTACACTGTATGTGTCTTGTGTTGAACATGCAGGAGAAGGCACTGAGACAAACTGAAGCAACACCATCTCATGAACCAGTGTCTGCAAATAAATTGGTTCCTGGTAATTCTATCAGATTAGCATTAATAGATGGTCACAGAGGCAATTGAGGTGACCCGCTGTTTCTAGCAGGTTCTCCATAAACCAGTGTGAAGGTCAGCTGTCAATCAACCTGCACCATATGATAATCAGTCTTTAAAATCAGCATGGGGACGCCATCAACACCAGCAGTAATGGCTGATGAAAGAATTGTCATAACAGCAAACCTCCAGGGATGAATGCTCGTGGATTGGCTAGGAGCAGAGGGAAAGAGGAGAGGGCAGAAGCTCAGTCACTGAGTGAAATGAGCAATTTGTGAAATCCTGTTTGTGAGACTGCAGGTGTGACTATGCTAATCCACCTTAACAACACCTAAAAGGAGGAAACTAGTTGATAACTTATTAAGTCAGGACTAATATCATGACTTCATTTGAGACCTGAAAGCTGATAGTATAGGATGAACTGACACTTGACTTGAACGCATCTACAAGGAAGTTGACTGTGAACTCCTTCCTAATAATAAAGAGCAGTCCTTAAAGCATACTACAGCTGTCAGAGAGATAAAGAGGTACCATGAGGGTGTGACTATTCTGACCAGTCTATTGAGAAGCTGCAGCCTATCTAACTGTTTCAGTGAGGGTAGACATGACTGCCCATGAGAAACCCACTGCATGCTGAATAGAGTGGGCCATCTGGTGGGATACAGTCACTAAATACCCCTCCTGAGTCCTGCATACTCAGTGAGACACAGTACTTGTCTATGTGATTGTTGGCATGTGCACAATTTACTGTCGGAGTGGTAGAAAGAGACGTAGATGTAAGAGGCTCGCTATGGTCCCTGTCCAGGTCAGAGTTGAATAAAGGAGAAAGGGGAGGGAAGCAGGAGGGAAGAGGAGAGACGTGAAAGAAAGAGAGGAGAGAGAGAGAGAGAGAGAGAGAGAGAGAGAGAGAGAGAGAGAGGGGAAGAGAGTGAAGGGGATGAAACACTGTGAAAGAAATGGTATGTCTGTGCTGTCCCACAGGGCCTGAACTGGGCAGCTGGCGAGGGAGCCATTACATGCATTTCTCTGACAGCTCACTCTCTCATTACACCAGCAGACAGTTAACACTACCCCTCTCACACCCTAGCTTTGTAATGCAGACTGTATCATCACCCACTACACACACTTAAATAGTTTAAGTGGCTGTTTTCATATACCATGCATTAAGGCGGCAATTTATAAAGCATGTGATTTCACATTGGAGCTCTTCAGAGCCACTTAAAGCCTGAACCCTAGTCGATGTCTTTGCCTGCATTAAGTCAGGCAATGATGCCTGTTGATAAATATGCTTAAAGTTTGCTTTATTCAGGATTCCAACAACAGCTTTTAAAAATAAGTTTATATTTTCTAGCCAGCCTTTGCATCCATTTGTGGGAAGTTGCTTCAACCCCTCCAGGTTCAATCTTCTAACCCAGGCCTGGGAATGCCAAATCAGAAAAAATTGTAAACCATTGATTAAAAAAAGACTAATGAGTTGAAGGTATTGCTCTGATGTGGACAGGATCAGACAACCTTGACCCTGGAGGAAGTCCTGGTTGGACACACAGAGATAGTTTGTGATCTGCCAATATGGAACACGTTAATCACATTAGTCATGCCAACCTGATCATCTGCCTGAGCTTGAACTGAGCTCCACATGGGGAAGATCCTCCAGTGCCAAAGCACAGGGACCCTGGTCTCTTTGTTGACCTCTTCCCTGGTCTCTGCCTCGGCCCTCACCTGAGGCTTGGCTGTCCAGCTTGTGGTGGCCTTCTCTACCTCGCCTTGTTGTTCTTGTGGCTGGACCTGGAGTGTATTCATCCCCACAATCAGGACTATCTTCCTGAAAAAAGCACCAGAGAAAGTTTTATTGTTTTTAATTTGCCACAGTCTGCTCTTATAAGCCTGTACGCAGGAAAGTTAGCTGCTGTGGCTAACTCTAATCTCAACAGAAAGAGCAAACACTCACTAGCTGGGCCGGTATAGGTGAGCTAGCTGAGCTTTGTTTTCGATCAGTTTGGCAAATTATACTTTAAAATAACACAGCGTGTGACCGTGAGTTGTGTGATAAGGCAAAAAGTTTATTTCAGTATCATTGAAAGACTCGGACATGGTCAAAATCCTCAGGTAGTCTGCTAGTGAACCGGAGGTAAATCGGAACGATACGAGCGTGCACATGCATCTGTCTGTGGGCGGGCTCACTGGAGCAGAAAGGGAAGAAAGTGCGGGATAAACTGGTTGAGGAGGGGTAGTGTTTACGATCAAAATTTCTCCCCTAAACTGATGTTTGCTCCGATCCTGCCTACCCTAGCTTTAACATAATTTGTGACCACATGTGGAGCAGAAAAATCTAAAATGAAGAAATTAGAATACACAAGGACAGACAGCTATTATATTAAAGAATCACAGCTAATATAAATAACCAAACTAGATGGAGGAATTTGAAAAGTGCAGAGGTAGCAAATATAACAGCAAACCAAATTCCACTGCAGAAATGACATGTTAAAAATGCCCCCCTAGCTGCATGAATGACCACCCTGTGTCTAACATACGAGTGGACAATCAAAGTCAAATGTTGCATGCTGTTTTGGTTGAATACATTTGTGGTAAGTTTTATGTAGTGTGGAGTAATTGCTTCATGGATTTAATCTCTCCTCGGTGACCCAGTGGCATCCCTCTGTCTTCCCTTCCTCCTTAAACCTGTTTGTAGTTTTTTTATCCTTTAACTCGTCTGCCAAAGAATACTAGCTTCCAAAATGAACTCAGCTTGTTGGAAAGTATCACATCAGGATGGATAAACAGAATTGGATGTCTGAATTGAATACTAATCTATATACCTTAATTCCATTGTGAAATCTCTCCTGGACGAGCACTTAGCAGATACTTTTATTGTGACAACGTGTTTCTTTTTGTTGTAGTTTGTGTGTTAATTTATTAGCCAAACATATCAGAGGAGATTTTCATATCTGCAGAGACAAAAAATTAACGGTCTGGAAAAAAGAAAACACTTGTTTAGCAGGAAACTCCTCTGTCCCGTGAACACACATGGAGCTGAGGCTGTAAATGTAATGAGAAAAAAAAAAGCCAGAAGCAGTCATAAGAATACAGCTGGGCATGCACACATGAACATGACCTCTGCTGGCTGTGGAAAAATCCTGCTGCCTCCTCACTTTACTGCTAAAGGGCAATGAAAGACTTAATTGGGCTGAAACAAGAGCTTTTTTTTGCAAATCTTCCTGCTAAGGCAACGAGAACTACGCTAAAGACAGAGTCAAGAGGATGAGCATTTGTAGAAGTTTTGCATCACACTGTCCATTGGATAATTTGAAAACATAACCTTGAAACATATAAAAAAGGGTGTACAAAACACAATTTGATACAGTAAGACCCAATCACACAAACAATATATCTGTCTGCCTGCTTCCTAGAGTATATGGAAACCATGAGTGCCTGGCTTTACTGCACTGTCTTATATAGGGATTTATTACTTGTTGAAATACAAAAACAGATCTGTCCTCTCACATGATGCCAGAGAGCTAGAAGTTAGATTTAGCCTCAATGGCTGCTCCTTGGAAATGAGGAGTCTAACATAGAAAAGTCTGAAGAGACGATGGAGGGAACAGGAACCCTGTAGACTGAGGCCTTATTTAAAATGATTGACACAAGAGGTGAGTAATAAGGACCTTGACACCAATTTTCCTTTCTATCCCTCAGAAG